AAATAAAAAAACGGAAGGAAAGGGGGGGGGGGGGGGGGGGAGAGGAGAAAGAGGTGGGAGGAGCAGGGGGAGGAAGTGAGGGGAGTTCAGTTGTCAATGCCGCTCAGCGTGGTCCTTCTCCGCAGGGACCCCAAAGTGCGAGTGGGGCTTGGAGGGCACATGGTGGGGAGCAGAAACACGCATGAAGTGTGGGGGGTGATGGCCGTGGGGAGACACTTACCTTCCTCTTACCTCACCAGGGGTGAAGGAGAGATTGAGAAAGTGCTGGTAGAAAGGAGAGAGGATGAAGCTCAGGAGGGATGCAGGACCTCAAGGGGAGATGATGTGTCCTCTAAGCCAACGGCGGCGGCAGCAGCAGGATGGAGACGCCCCTGATAGGGCCGGGACAGCAGCATGTGACCCGGAGCTGCGATGAGTCAGGATTTAGCAAAGCTTTACAAACAGCACGTAGAGGATGGAGAGAGAAAGAGAGAGAGAGAGACAGACAAGGGATAGGCACAGACAGATGAGGGTGAGAGCGCCCGGGAATAGGAGTGGGTGTGCAGGATAAACAATCTCAGTCATTCCAGGCTCATTAATTATTTTTATTCAAATCAGAAAATCTTGTCGAATTTTTGGGAGCCATAAAGTGAACCACAGAACCTGTAACCTTCCTTTTTTACCTTTTCCCTCTCGGGCCTATTGAGAATAGAGCACACGAGTGCAGCGACTGCAAAAACACTGCATTACCTCAGGGCACCTTCCAGGACTAGGATGGGTAGCCCTCCTCTCCAGGGGTAAAATGAGGTGAAAGTAGCTCTGCTATCTGCAGTTCTCACTATCCCAGCTGCACATGCAGGGGAAGAAATTCCCAAATCTTGGCTGGCTCTGGAACAGGTGTTAAAAACAGGAGTCACTCGGTCACATCATCCTGGGGAGGTTCTTCAGTTTCCTGCAAAAGGAAAGAGCTGGAAGTTAAATGATTCCATGCCCACGTTCTTTTCCCCTTTCACCATCCAGTTCTGCTAGTGGAGGCCAGGAATGGCAACCCAGTTGCCATGTTTGCCATCACACAATCAGGCTGTGAAGCCCAGACTCAGTCTCAGTCTCCTCTGCCCTTGGGACTGAAGTCCCTCAGTCTTCATGTAACCTAGATGAGGAGAGGCTTGATCAGTGTGTTTGATTCTCTCCTTCTCCCTCTGCCATGCTCTTCTCACCTTTTCTTCTTCCTTCTCTTCTTCCTCTTCTTCTTCCTTTTCTTCTTCCTTTTCTACTTCCTTTTCTTCTTCCTTTTCTTGTCTTTCTTGGCGGACTCTCTGTGCCTCTTCCTGCTCATCTGGCTCAAACAATTCCTTGTCGAGGCGCTGCAGGTTTGGCAGCTGGACCAGGACCTCCAGTCGGTAGTTGGTTTCTTCAGAGCATGGATTGTCCAACAGCACCAGTGCCTGCAGCACTGGGAGGACCTGCAGTTTTTTTACCTCCTGAAGGCTACTGATCTTATTGTTCCTGAAGAAGAGGAAGCACAGAGAGCAAGGAAAAGAGACACATACAAGTAGTGAGGTCCCTTTGGAACAATAAGCTGACACGGCAGACCAAGGAAACTTCCCAGAGTGAGAGACTGTAGACCTTAGACCACAGATCTGTGACCTAGGATCCAGGTCTGTCTGCAGCTGCCCAGAATGAGGGACAAAAAAGGACATCTCTGGATTTCTCTGTGCTCAAACAGCCCTTTGAATGGTGTGCTGTCACCACCAAACACTGTGTGTGGCAAATGCCGGGAATTAAAGGGCACTTGCTGTCATGTCCATGAGACACAGAACATGCAGAAAGGGATCCAAAGGAGTTGTGGCAAGGAATAAAAAGTATGAGGTGGGGTGTGAGAGTAAGTGGAGAGGCAGATCTTTTCTGAGCAGCTCAGGAAAGGCCCTGGGCTGTTTTATTCCCAGACAGCTGAGCACTAAACAGCTGTTAAGGACGGTAAGGATCAGCCCATTCTCACCAGGTCTTTAACTTCCAGAGGAATCAGAAAACCCTAAGGACCTAAATGGGAGTACAGCCTAATGAAGGAGTCTCTGGTCCTGACACAGAGCAGGGAAGACCCACCGTAGGTTAAGGTACCGCAGACACTTCATGCCACTACAGAATCCATCCAGGGTCTCAAGCTGGTTGTCACGCAAGTGCAGGGTTGTCAGCTGTTCTAGCCCCTCCAGGCCTTCCAGGCTGCGAATGACATTCTGGGCCTGAGCCCCAGGGAGACAGGAAGAGCAAAGGAAAAAAGGTACATGCAGGAGAGGGAAGAACAGTTATTTCCAGCCTTTAAAGCTCTTTCTACCCTTCAGACTCCCTACCACTCGCGGCTCAGCCTTCTCTGAAGCTACATCAGGTTGCTCTGGTCTTGCCCAAATGGGTTCCAAGTACCCAGATTCAAGGAACAAGAGTTTGCTGGAAAAGTGTTTCCTGTGCCATCACTTGGTGACTGAGCCAAAACCACCCCCGAAAAATACTCCACTGCCTTTTTTACAGCACCCCCTTCCATGGCAGTGCCAAACCTGAGTCCCTAAAGCCTCAGAGAGCAACAGTGTGGAGGGAAAAACAAAGGCTTGAGCCTGAAATGAGTATTTAAAGGATGAATAACCAGCCCCTCTCAGTCACACAGTTCATGTAGCACAGGAACCTTCCAGTGTCAGCTGCTTTTCTTGTGGGAGAATCCACTACCAATAGCTGTTATCCATCCATAGGTGCACCTTTTTTGCAAAAAACCTGACAATTGTATAGCAGGAAGAATGTGTCTTCTCAGTCCCAAGCTCCCCATAACTGCATTTCGTTCACTTCACTGCTGTGTGAGTTATGAGGCAGGGAAGTATGAAGCTCTGAATTTCAGCAATAATTTCACAGCAGGATTCCAGCTGGAAAAGACCACTAGAGGCCTCCTACCCAAGGCTGGGCTCACTGCAGTGCTAACCCCAGTGCTGGGGTGGGCTGCTCACTGCCTTGTGCAGCCCAAGTTTGGAACATTTCAGGTAATTACAAGCTCCTGCCACGTTCTCCAGCCTGGAATTGCACAGGGCTTTCCGTGAGGTTGTGAATCAGGGCTGCAGTCCCTAAGGACACAGATACCTGCACGGGAAACAGGAAGAGAGGTGCTGTTGTGCCCTCTGCTCCTTGTTGGTACTCAGGAAGTGATGTGGCCTGAGACTAGTGAAAGGGCCACAAGCTGAACTGGTGGGACATAAGAACAGGGACACTCAGGAAATGGACATTTTGTGGGAAAGAAGGAGTCTAATAAAAAATGGACAAGGAAAAGTCTGGACCTGCTGGGATAATAATAAATAAAGAGGGTAACACAAGGGGAAGAAGAGGAAAGGCAGAGATGTAGCGTAGATTGTGTGAACAGATTTAACAGCTTCCTCAAGTAATACCAATATTTTTATTCAGAAAGGAAGGCAGACTGGGAGAGACACCCCCTCCCTTCTCCAAAACTATTTAGTGGGTAAGCAGACATAGGAGACAAATCCAAGCCCCAAACCTTCCTGATAAATGAGCCAGTTGTTCTAATTTTAATAATAATGTCTTGCAATTTGTCCATTTAACATGTGTAACTCAGAAATTCCTCAGTCATGCCAGGAAGCTTATTTAAATATTTTAAATAAATTAATACATTTATAGGTGCTGTATTTGCTTCCCTTCAATCATTCACTAAAGTGACTGGCCTTCCTTTGAAATTGTGTAGTGTATCCAGTGACTTTTGTCCCCTCCCTGGAAGTGTGCAAGGCCAAGTTGAAGCTCTGAGCAAGCTGGTCTAGTGGGAGGTGTCCCTGCCCATGCAGAGCTAGATGATCTTCAGATCCCTTTCTGCCCAAACCATTCTATGATTCTATGACTTCTGTACTTCCCTTCTTCCAGCATCTCTAGTCCTAAAATCTCAGTTTTCTACCAGGAATTTGCAGGCAATCTCAGCAAACACTCTCCTCAATGTTTTCTGTCAGGTTGTCTTGATGAAAAGAAACCATAGCGCTTTTCTAAGCCTTCATCATCTTTAATTGCTTTTAAAGAGGTGTGATGCATGGGACTAAGCCATATGTACTTTCTTCACTTGCATCTCTAGGAGTAAATGCTCACTGAAACAATTGTTTATGGTATTAGGAAATTGCTTCTCCCGTCTTAGTTTCACTGTCATGTTCAATCAGGGTGTTTTGTTGTTGTTGGTTGGTTTTTTTGGCAGCTGAAGGTGTGAATCATATAATTGTGCTGGTTTTAAACCAGCATTTGATTCTCCTCATTAGAAAGGAAACAGAGGTGTCACCTCCCCATCACCCAGAGCAAACATGTTGTCTTCCCCACTGACCTCTGGGGCTTCCAGGACATATGGAATACAGGCTTGCCTAGCACTGCCAGAAAAGAATACCACTCTCTGCAGACCAACTACTGGCCAGTGGCTACTGCCTCAACACTCTCTGGGCAGACAGCTAGAAGGAACTACCCAAAAGAATCAACTTTGTCTCTTTAGTGCTCTGAAATCTGTTCCTCTCTTGGGCTGGGAAGACTGAACTGAAGAGGCTAGCATGAACATTTTGCTGCTTTGAAGGAGGCAGCACCACTCTTCCACCTCAGACTGAAGGTTGTACAGGGTGTACAGCAGCTATTTCCCACTCCCCAGGCTGGCTGGTCCCTTACCAGATAGAGATTCTCGAGTTTGGGAAGGCTGAGCCCTGCTGTGTTCTCTATCCTGTTTCCTCGCAGCTCCAGGATTTGCAGGCTCAACAACTGCCCATGGCTGAGGCCCAGCACTGTCTTAATTTTATTTCCTGAGTTATGAGATGAGGAAGAAATGATGAGAGAGTTAATCCCACCCAAAGAGAGTGTCCTAGAGGCACAAGAAGGAAGAGAGGTGGGGTGTCTCACCTTGCAGGCTGAGGTTGACTAAGCGGGGGTGGGTAATGCCCTCCAGATCCTTGATGCGGTTCTGAGAAAAGCTGATGATCTGCAGGTAGGGCAGCTCCTGCATGCAGGCACTGGTAAGCAGATTCCCATCCACCTTCAGCCAGAGCAGGTGGGTGAGGTTGCTCAGTGGAGACAAATCTTTCAGCTTGTTCTCGGACAAATCCACGTACCGCAGGTGAATGAAGCACTCCAGCAGGCTGATGTCTGTCAAGTCCCTGGGGCAGGGAGGATGGGGATTAAAGTTCTCACCTATTATTGCCCCCTGCTACCAGCTTTCAGTTTGCTCCTCAGCACTGCTGGTGGGAGGGCATCTTCCTCTCCCACTTCCCTGTGGGAAGTCCTAGGAAGGCTTGCTGGAGGGAAGGAAGAAAATGGCAGGTGAGAGGGACAGGCCAAATAGTCTGTTAACATGGTGGAGTGGTAATATTGGACTTGCTTTCCTAGCACAGGGAGTGTTTATTCACATTGAATTGTATCTTTCAGAAGAGGGTGAGTTGGGGGAAGTGGGTGTCTGTTAAGACAGCAGTGGCACCACCAAGGAGTGTGTGGAAGGACCTTCCTAGTGGGGAAAAAGCAGTCTGAGATCCCTGCGAGGCTGCTGAAAGAGACGGCCTTGCTGAGGCCTGTTAGGTCTAAGGTTATGCAGCAGTACTGATGAGGCTGAGGCTCCAAACTGTCCCCAGAGGTGCAGACCTTAAAGGGTAGCAGTTAAGAGGAGAGATGCTTCATGGGTATTTTTCAACAGGCCACCTTGTTCAGGTCCACCTAGGAGATCACAGCCCAGAGGGATGGCCAGGGTCCTCCCAGGCTAGAGGGACAGTGATGTTCCCACCAGCGTGTCGGGCTGTGGTGGGTGCAGTTGCACAGCTCAGAGCTGAGGATGGACAGGTGATGCTGAGGCACAGACTGGAAGCCGGACAGCTGGAGAGCACGGCTTGGAAAATGCTCCAGCTGATCAGCAGTGGTCTTATGGCAGAACCGCTTCATGGGGGCGAGGCCTCCTCCTGGGGCTGCACACTCACTTGCTTTTGGCTTCGAATTTCGCGTAGGCGTGGGCCAGCCCGTTGCTGGTCTTACAGAGGAGCGAGAGGCCCTCCTTCAGCCCCTCCTCCGTCAGGGGACACGGATCCGGCACCTGGGGGAGAAGCAGAGAGCACAACGCCAGGGCTGGCCTATCCCCAGCCCGAGGGCGCCACAGGCCCCGCGCTCACCTCCTCTTCCTCCTCCTGCTCTGACGGCGCCTTCTCCTCTTCCTCCCCCTCCTGCCCC